GGACACCTTATCTCTATCCTTTCTCGATGACCTTGACTCGAATACTTCATACTGACCTTATCTCTATCCTTTCTCCGATGACCTTGACTCGAATACTTCATACTGACCTTATCTCTATCCTTTCTCGATGACCTTGACTCGAATACTTCCATAATATCTCTCTCGGTGACTTTATCTTCCTCTCACACTGGACTTACTTCACCGCGTCCATAAACTTTCTCTTTGTCAAAGTAAGTTCGTTTTCCCTTTCCATCTTGACTTCGTATTCCACCTGAGTTGACTTCATCTTCGTCCGAGATTTTTATTTTTTTTTTCTCTCGCTCACATTGACTTCTTTTTTTCTGTCAATTACGTTTGATATTTTCTCACGCTAGTTTCGTCTCGGTCTAAATGCTGTTTAATGTCTATTTTCGTCCGGATTTTGATTCTTATGCTAAACTAACCCTGCTATCCTTTATCCTTCTTCCTAAAATGGCCTGTTCCTCCCTTCATATTCCGTCTCTTTCACACTGACCTTGTTTTTATTTTCTATCTCGACCTCATCGCCTCCTCACGCTTGATTTACTTCCATCCACCCCCCCCCAAAAAAAAAAAAAAAAAACTTTTCTCCCTAAACTGACTTCGTTTCTCGTTCACACACCTTTTTTGTCTTCTCTCTCTCTCTCTGTCTCTCTATACAATATCGAAAAATTCACCCTTCCACACTTGGCACCACCTTCTCTCGCTCAAAACTGACCTGATTTCGCATCGAACTGGTTTCCATTCCCCTTCGGTCTGACCTCTCTTTCCCCTGCCTCGTGACCCCGGCAGAGGACCTCCAGTTGCTAGGCACGACGGACGAATAAAATTTCTTTAGTAATCGCTGTTTCTCCCTTAAAATGACGTTTCAATAGCAGGTCGACCTCGCCTAATCCTTGCCGTGTCACACTTGGACTTTTTTCCGCATTACTTTTCCGCTGGAACCACGGAAATCGCGGTCAATTCGGCTCGCGCAGTCACACTAGCGACGAGAACCACGGAAACAGTCCGACCAAAATTCTAAACACAGAAAGATGGGTTCAACCCCCGCACAGGCTCTGGCGATGATGGGCGTTATTCTGGCTATGTGGCGACGATTTAATGCGAAACGACGAATGTATAATGCTAAATAAGGGCTACTCTCATCTAGTCAGCTGACGGGGGTACGTGGACACAAATGTAAACAAACAAGCGAGCAGCTAGTTATAAACTTGTATATGTTTTTATTAAATACAAGAGAGAATTTTGCCAATTTAAAAATATCATTTACAGTTTAGAATCTTTTTGAATTATTTTATATTATAAATACTTTTTTTTACATTACTATAACGATTATCTATTATAGCGTATTATTTGAACAAAAAAAAAAAAAAGACCACGGAAATTTGAAAGCGAAAACGATAATTATCGTTTGACTGGAATTTATCGTTTTCACCCAAAATACAAGTGGTAGCGAGAAGAAAAAACACGGAAATTGTGCTAGTGTGACACCCCCTTTAGTCTGACCTCTCCCTTGGAAGTTGCCCTCGCTTAACCTCTGGCTGACATTTCTTCCGTAGTGGTGGTTTTTTGAACTGCATTTGACTATGTACGAGCTGCACTAAACTCGAATCTGATGAATTTTGCTTCTGTCTTGACCTGACCTCGTTCCCATAGTAAGTTGACCTCGCCTACCCTTCCCTGCCCTATGCCCCGCAGCGCTGGCGGAGATGCGCAAGCTGCTGGACGCAAGAGGAGCCTTGTCCCTGTCCTCTGTCTTGACCTGTCCTCGTTCCCATAGCAGGTTGACCTCGCCCCTTTCCCCGGGCTTTCCTCCGCAGCGCTGGCGGAGATGCGCGAGCTGCTGGGCGTGATGGACTGAACTTGTGTCTCTATTACATCCTACTTCTATCTTGACCTCCCTCAA